CTGCGCCCCGACTCAGCAGCGCTAGGCTTGTGCCCCCAGCACCTCGCCCGGGCATGTGCGGTGGCCAGCGGGAAGTGGCCTGTCCAGCGCCATCCGAAAGAGCTCAGGTCTGTAGGCTCCCGGCCCCCCGGATCCTTTGGGTCCAGGTGTGTGGGATGTGGGGTGCCTTGGGGCAGCACCCCTGAGCATCCCTGGGAACGTGGCCCGGGGCGCGCCGGTCCCCATGCCTGGCACCTTCAGCCGGGTCCCAGCGCAGGTGCGCAGTGCAGGCGAATGGAGACCCCCTGTCCGCCCTGAGCAGGAGCAGGAGTTGGGGGGCCGGGGGGATGTCACTCCTGTCATTCCCGGTTTCCGTTTTCCCTCCCAGCCCACGGAATGCAGCCTTCGGATCTTGACAATTGGTGCTTGCCTGCTTTAATACGATTTCCTTGGCAGTTACGAAGCCATTCCCCATGGCGAATTCGTGTTCCAAGTAGAAGAATCTCGCTTCTTGGGTGTTCGAAAGCTGGCACTCAGAGCGCACGCCGAGGGCTCGCCCACCGGTGCCTGCGTCTTCGCGCCGTGCGTCAGGTTCCCCAAAGTTCGCCGCTGGAGCGGGGTCCGCGCTTGGCGGATTCAGTACCATTGCAACAGTGGACCGCAACTTAGCGATTTATAAACCAGCGCGCGCTGAAAACATTGCCTTCGCGACACCATTTTGATGGATTGTTATTCCCACCACAAGATTTATCCCCAAGCGCCTACCCTTTGTCATCCACATAGGTTTGGGGTGTTTTTTTGTTTTGTTTTGTTTTCATTCAGAATTTCCAGTTTGACCCACTTGTGATTAAAAATTACCCTCCAAAGTTTGGTGAGAATTCCTTACCTTGGCCAGATGATATTCGCAAGGAAATGATAGTTTAGAGTGCCAATCTATTTGAAGGTGAGTATTTCAATTGTGTGGAAGCGGAGTTCAGAGTTAATTTATCCAACAGCGAGTGCTGAAACCTGCAGTGGTCTTTTGACAGGTTTTTGTGGAAGGGTATTGTGCTTCACAGTTAATATTTTGTTTTGTTTCAAACAAATTCAACGTTGTGGCTACTCTGTGAGCTTTGGTTTTGACAACATGCTCTCTCCCCTCTTGTCTGTGTGCCATGTATTGGTAATTCTCACACGATTTTAAGCATTTTAAGATTATAAAATGCACCCCCCCACACACAGTGCTTTTTCCTAAGATGTACTTTGTAGGTAAACTACAGTGTCCTGGAAACAACTGTTGTGTACACTGGGGAACCCCCAAATTGTGTACCTCATTTTATTGTGATACTTGCCTTTGGGTGGTGGTCTTGAACTGAACCAGCAAGGTCTCCAAGGTCTGCCAGTCCCTGGATCAAGATCTATGGATATGGCTTCGAATTCGTCCTTTGGCATAAGTGATGGGTAGCTTTGGTGGCATTAAGATGTGATTTATTTATATTGAAACTCCTCCAGTTTCTCTTGCTGATTAGTATTTTTGTTGCCTGAGGGAAATGGGGGAGTGTAAGCAGGCTGATGTCTTTTTGTTGGTCCAATTTTGGCGATGTAGCTCGGTGGTGTGTAACTGAGTGTGTTGTGGACTAGGAGAGACAGTCCAGCAGTCCTGCAGGATAAGTACACAATTGTTGGGAAACTCCCATGAGTTCATAAACCGGAAGGACCATTTTAGAAGCGTTTGGGGCCATGAAGAATAGCGTTGGGTTGTTTTCTTGGAGACGCTGCTCTGGGTGGTGTACTCGAGTACACTGGTTGTGAACACGGGGCATGCTGACATCAAAGACTTCTAGGACGGTTCTTAGAAAGGCCGGAACACGTCCCGTCTTTATATTGAAGCTTTTCACCAAAAATATTTTATGGGCCCTTTTTTTCAAGTGTTGTGTTGTTTTTTTTAAACTTAAGCCTGAAAGTTCTTTCAAATTCTTACAGTCACGCTGCCCCCCCTCAGTTATTTTGCCCATACGATCATCCGTAACCCAGATTCAATCAAAAGAAGTGTCAGCACCATGGTGTAAGTCAGATCTTGACATTGAACGTGGTGGGGAGTGCTCTCAGTGTTCTTGTCAGCTACGCACAGGAAGATGGGTTTCTGAATGAGTTCTGAACAGAGCGATTTAGCAGTGGCCATGCTTGCACTCCATGCTCATGAGACGGCTAACTTCAAATACTGAACATTTGACTTCCGCTGTGAGCCGAGTTGCTAGATGAATACCGCCTTTTCACGTGTGTGCGCATTTTGCATCGGTTCATATTAAAATGGAGCTTTTTAAGTTTCAAGATGTCGCTCCTCTCCCTAAAGGTTAGCAGTGACACCAGAAATGACCACCGCCACCAGCGATCACTGTGACTGTTTGGTTGTGAGCACTTGGGCATTTATTGTCATGGTATGGAAAGGCATGCTGGGAGGAAAAACTCCTGGTCGCTTCAGAAGCCTGTCTATAATGCTTCCTTACTTTCAGGAGCGTGGACTATTTTCCTTTAAAAATGAAACTGTATTGGTGTGGGTTATAACAATAGGAACCTTTTCTTATGTTTTGTAACATTAAATCATTATAACCTCAAATAGTAGTTTTTCTGTACAGCTGTGGTGCGGTAATGCAGATGCTTAAAACTTCCCAGGAAATACTGACTTTCTCCACTGACTTCAGGAAGGCTCTGGATGAGTTGAGTTGCTTTGAAGCAAGACCACAGGGACTTTTGGGGGTTACTATATCGGAAGCTTTCCTGAACTGAATTTGTTGACTGTAAAAGAACTTCCGGGTCATGTAGAAGAGTCGTTTTTGTCCATAAATCAGCTTTTCCTGTATAGACTCTGTCTTCCCTGCCTGCTGGATCCCTTTATTTTCCAGAAAGTTGTCCTTGTCCCCCTGGAGGCAGTTTTGCCTTTTATAGTTGAGCCCTTTAACCCTGGCTCCATGACACCGCCTTGAAGGAAGGGACAATCCCAGGCGCTTAGAGGGCCTTTACTGTAGCACCAGCCTGGCCTGGGATAGTAAATGCCCCCAGGAAGACCTGCCAGGGTCCCTTCCCTTGTGAGGGCATCACTGCTAGCCGGCAGGCTGGTGACATCTGCCCTAAGCTGGGTTCATCATCATCCAGGGCCTTCAGCGGCACTCTCCGTCCACCCCCCTTCCCTCCCGTCCCGTCCCAGCAATGTGACATCATGGACAAATGATAGCCTTTCTACCATTCACAGCTATTAAAAGCTCCAGTCCTCTCTCCTGGTGTGAACCTTCTTCACATGTGCTCAGTGTGAGCTCCTGCCCTCCCTGTGCAGCTGGGGGGTCTCGGTGTGCTCCTAGGGCACCTCCTTCTCTCCTCCCTTTCCTGGGACCTGGTGGGGCAGAGAGGAGGCAGAAGAGAACTGGGAAGGGACAGCTCATCATTCTGTGTGGCCACTGGTGCCCACTGTGGTAGATGTCCAGTCTGGCCTTCCAGGTGGGGTTTTACCGGAAGACACCACTGCACAGCTCCTGGCTGGGAGAGGTCCTGTGGTGATTCCTTCGTCAGCTAACAGGCTTTGCCCCGACCCCTTTGCTCTTGCCCTGCCCTGCCCTGGCCCCGAGGCCAGAGAGTGGGAGAGAGGTGTGTGTGTTTCTTTATTCTGATTTTTTTTATAATCCAGCCACCTTCGGCCCCGTTTGCTCACTGCATCACCCCATAGGACATGCACTTCCTTGTGATGCCCAGGTGGCAGGCAGGCCTCTGAACTCTGCCCCTTTTGTCTACCCTGCCCTACCCTGCCCTTTCTCATCAGCTCTCTCCCTGCCTCATAGAGGCACCCGCCACTCACTCAGTCCACTGTGCGAGTAGGTCCCCCTGCTTGGAGACACACCTGATCTTGGTGAAGGAGCCTCGTGGGGATTCCCCACCTCCACTTCCAGTGTTCTCCTGGGACACTCAGAAGACATCCAGCACTTTCCTTCTCTGCTGCCAGTTGGTTACACAGACGGGGACGGTGTCCAGATGGTGTCGAGGGTCTCGGAGGCTAGAAGGATGCGGTGGGGGTGGGGGTGGGGTGGGGAAAGGAGCTTGGTGTCTCGATTGCCTCAGCGTGGCCAGCAGGACTGGCCTCTGAGCATCTGATTGACCGGTCTGACCCGGCAGGATTCTTTGCCTCGTATGTGGCTACCTTCCTCCCCTCTGCCCCTGACTTCCCCGACTTCCTGGTTCCTTATTGAGGATGTGTCTGCTCTGCTTACAATTCATCCACGGCTCTAAGATGTGACCGCGCCTCAGAGCCGCAGTCAAATAGGAGGATGGCTTTTTACCCAGTCTGGCCTCACCGCTGTGTTACCAAGACCAAAAAATACAAGGAAATCCAGCGAGTCTTTTTCCTTTGACCCCAAACTCAAACCCACTGCCGTCAAAAGGATTCTGACTCATCGCCGCCGTCGTGGGTGGTGGAACTGCCCCCGAGGTTGTCCAGCTTCAGAGAAGCAGCTGCCGCCCACAGCCTCCAGTGGAGCGGCTCGTGGGGTTCGAACCACTGACCTTTCGGTTAGCTGCCCAGTTAGCCCACGGTGCCACGAGGGCGCCTGAAACCAGCTCAGAACTGGTCTGCTAGACCTGCTCCCTGATTTCTCACCTGATGAGGAAAAAGTAGCTTTCAGCCTGGCAACTGAAGCATCACATTTGATAGTCATCTGTGGGTGGCTTGGTGCTTCAGGCAGCAAGGGTCACTGAGTGTGCCTCGCGCCACACGATGTTGGTGATGCATATACGTCAACAGCAGGGACAAGCGGCCTGCTGTCATGGCGCCTGCGTTCTGGTGTGGGGACGTGAGCACAAAGTAGATGCCGTTTCTCAGTGGGGGTCAGTGCGAAGGAGAAGGGAGACAGGAAGTGACAGGACGGGAGTGTGAGGACCTGCCATTTGAACTAGGCTCCGCTAAGAAGGTGGCAAGGGCTTGCACGGAAGGCCACAGAGACCCCAGCAAGTGAGTGGCGGTGGCCAGGAGGGCTCCGGCTTTTCCTCCATTGGGCTGAGCACAACCCCCCTGGGAGCTTTAAGACAGGACTGGCGCCTGCAGGATCCATTCTCCAGAGTTCCTGCTTTAACGGGGCCGGGAGCCCAGCCTGTTTTCCAAGCCTCTCGGCTAATTCTAAAGGCTCTGCCTCTGCCTAGCCATGTGACTTTGGGCGATTTAAAAAAAAATCTTTTGTGCCTCAGTTTTCTCATCTTAGTACTGCAGGGGTGTGATGCTTAAAGAGATATTTAATTAGCCTGCTGCGTTTCTGATTCGTCGTGACCCTGCAGGACAGAATTTAACTGCTCCGTGGGGTTTCCTGATGGCATAGTGGTTACTCGTTGGGCTGGCTGACATCCACAAGCTATGCAGTTCAAAAGTACCAGCTGGGTCCACGTGAGTCGGAATCGACTCTGTGATGCAGCTGGGCTCGGGTCTAGGGTTTCTGAGACTATAACTCTCTTTGGAAGCAGACAGCCTCATCTTTCTCCCTCGGAGCATTCGGTGGGCTAGAACCACCAATGCTGCCCTTAGTCACCAGGGTGCCTTGAATATTTCAGTACTTTATGTTACCTCTTAAAACAATGTCTGACAGGAAGCAGGCCTTCAAACTCGTGTAAATGGTTCAGCCAAGGTCCCCGGAGTCAGGTTGCCTAGCAGTCACACCACTTGTGGCCTGCGTTTCCATCCGAGTAGAAGCAGAAGTGCCCTCCTCAAAGATGGCGACTGACTAGGTTGCCACGCATTCGGAGTTGGGTCACCGTCTTTAAGTGGGACACCCCACAACCACACTCTGTCATCAAGTCCTAGCTGACTCGGCGACCAGAGTAGAACTGCCCCCTGTAGGTTTCTTTGCAGGGGCAGAAACATCGCATCTTCTCCTGCAGAGCTGCTGTTTGGTTCCGCAGTTTGAAACCACCTGTGGCTCTGTGGGAGAAAGATGGGGCTTTCTACTCCCATAGAGTTACAGCCTCGGAAGCTCACAGGGGCAGTTTTATCCTGCCCGATAGGGTCACTGTGAGTTGGCATCCATTTGATGGCAGTGAGTTTGTTTGGGGTTTGGTTTTTTGTGTGTGAACCTGAGAGTTCACAGCTCAAGGTGTAGCCGTCTGCGCCACGAGGGCTGTTGTCCAGCCAGTCAAAATCAACCCATCAGAGATCTGGTTGCCAAGCAACAAGAGACACTCCTGAGCCGTGACTGAACCCTTAGGAGGCAGTTGGGCACCCATGCAAGTAGAGTATGGTACAGGTGTGCGGGTGCGGACTAACCGCGTGTGGGACACACTCGCTCTCCTACTGTGTGGAAGAGGAGCGGGGGGACATACTGGTGTGCCAACATACCTTTTATGTGCACCGGGAAACCAGACCGTCCATGCTCCTCGCCTTGGTGCAGCGGTCCTTGTATTGTGGTGTTCTGGAACCGAGCCCCAATCGTATCTAAGATGACTGAACCCTGGTGGCGTGATGGTTGCACATTGGCTAACTGCAAGGTTAGTAGTTTGAAACTCCCAGCTGCTCCGTGGGAGAAAGATGAGGCTTTCTACCCCTTTCAGAGTTACAGTCTTGGACACTCCAGGGGCAGTTCTGTCCTGTCCTATAGGGTCACAGTGTGTCAGTAACGACTCACTGGCTATGAGTTTGGCTTTGGTTTCAGCTCTTTTTGTGATGGGGGTTCACTTTATTTTGATTCCTTTCAGTTGTAGCGATTTAGAGGGGCTTAAAGAGAGTCGACGGGGTTACATTTAAAAGGCTGAGCGTTAGAGTCCAAGCATCTGAGTTCAGGTTCTGATCCAATACCAGTTTGTTTTCTCACCTCGGAGAGTAACTCCCCTCACTCTAGGCTGTTTTTTGTCTTTGGGACAATGATGCTGACTTCATGTTGGTGGTGGTGGTGTTGGTGGTGGTGCCAGCCATTTGATTTTGACCCATAGCAACCCTAACCCAACAGAACGAAACACTGCCATCCTCACAGTTAATCGTATGCTCGAGCCCATTGTAGCACCCACTGTGTCCTGCCATCTCCTTGAGGGCTTCCTCTTTTTCTCTGCCCCTCCACTTGACCGAGCATGATGCCCTTCTGCAGGGATTGTCTCTCCCCACAACATGCCCAAAGTATGTAAGATGAAGGCCAGGAGCAAGCTGGCCATGTTTCTTCTAAGACAAATTGGCTTGTCCTTTAGCAGTCCACGGTGCTTTCAGAATTCTTGACCAGCACCGCAACACCAACGCATTGATTCCTCTTCGGTCTTCCTGATTCAGGGCCCGACTTCCACATGCCTGTGAGACAAATGAATATCATAGCTTGAGCAGGCAGACCTTAGCCCTCAAAGTCATGTCTTTGCTTTGCAATGCCCCAGAGAAGCCTTGTGCCGCCGATGCGCCTACTGCAGTGCTGACTCCTTGGGCTGTTTTCAGGACTGAATGAGTTGCTCGGAGCCACGTGGTTGGTTCTGACTCACAGTGACTCACTGGATCATTGCCCGGCGCTGTGTCTGCTATTGCAGCCGCTGTGTCGTTCCATCTCACTGGGGGTCTCCTTTCGCTGACCGACTTTACCTGCTCCTGTACCTGGTTCTTCCTGTTAGCAGAACCTAGGGCCACTCTCCTGGCTTCTAAGGAGCGTTCTGGCCGTACTTCCAAGGCCTGTCCTTCTAGCAGCCCTGGTCGATCGAATATTCTTCACCATCACCTGGCTCCTCTCCAGGACTCCTGATTCGTTGTCTAGCTTCCATGTACATATGAGGTGATTGGGAATTGCCTGGCTTTGGTCAGGCACACCTGACTCATCAGGGTGAGATCTTTGCTACTGAGCACTTCAAGGAAGTCTCTTGTAGCTGGTTGGCCCAGTGGCATCCATTCTCCTGTTTCCTGACCACTGCTTCCTAGGACGTAGATAATGGGTCCAAGTAAAATGAAATTCTTGACAACATCAGCCTTTTCGCTACTTATCATGAATTTGCCTATTCGTCTAGTTGGGCAGATTTTCATTTTCTTTATGCTGAAGTACAATCCCTACCGAAGGTTAGCTAGCTAATTTTCAGGTTCACTTTGGTTTGTTTTGAAAAGGGTCAATTATCCATCTGTGGGGAGATGTTCACTCCTTGCCCAGCATTGGTGTGTGGGCTGCTGTGTTGATCACCCTGCGGAACAAGCACGAGGTCACCGTCACGGTCACCCAGGCCCCAGATGTGTGCACACGTTCACGTCCAGCCAGTCCCCACTGGCCCCCGTCTCCCCACCCAGTGATGGGTGGAGGGCAGTTTGCTGAATGCACAGAACCGTGGTAGCCCCTTGTGTGAGGAAGTCCTTTTATCTTGAGAGCTTATTGTTGTTGTTTTATTTCACAGTGTAATGTTCAAGCACAGAGATGCCTTATGTGGATCGTCAGAATCGCATTTGTGGTTTTCTGGACATTGAAGAACATGAGAACAGTGGGAAATTCCTCCGGAGGTACTTCATCCTGGACACCAGGGAAGACAGTTTTGTATGGTACATGGATAACCCACAGGTGCGTCAACTCCCGTGGGCCCCCTTCAGAAGCAGACAGAAGCCTATGTGTTGTGAAGGATGTGGTGTCTTACAGAGGCCTTCCGGGTGGGCCTGAGCAGTATACATGGTCTGAACTGGCTTCACTACCCCCTTCTGCACTCCAGCCCCCACTACCTTAGGTATAGTCATGGAAGTCAGTCTATGTGATAAGTAATGTGTGTGTATATGTATGTTTTCCCCACGTTGAGAGAGGGTCGCTCTCACAGAAGACTCTGAGTCATTTAGATTGAAGGTGCTGCTCTAGAATAGGGACTGCTGTCTTTTAATAAACAAACGACCGGAACTGCTTGATCAGGGAGCCCCTAGGTGGCATAAAGGTGCACTGGTGGCCTTGTGATTACACAAACCACCAGCCGATCCATGGCAGACAGATGTGGTTTTCTACTCCCATGAAGAGTTACCATCTCGGAAACCCACAGGGGCATTTCTGCCTTGTCCTCTAGGGTCGCTGTGAATCGGAATGGGCTAGATGGCCGTGAGTGAGTGAGCGAGCGAGTGCAAAACTGTTAACGCACTTGGCTGCTAACTGAGAGAGTGGCGGCTAAGTCCACCCTGTCTTGGCAGTCTGCTTCTGAGCACTCTGCCCTCAGAGGCCCTGCGGAGCACAGGCCTACTTGCTGCACACAGGTGGCCAGGAGGTGAATTACCCTGAAGGCACTTGGTATGGTTGGGGTTGTAAGTACTAACCACTCTGATAATCCTTTCATCTTCTGGCACTAGACTCGTGTGTCGAGCCAGCCACACGCACTCTGAAACGCACTTTGATCTGACTGTTGTCCTGCAAAACTTGGGTGTAGATGTCATCGATTAAAAATTAGAACCCCCAGTCTAACATCTGTGCCAGACCGTCGATGGAAGATCACCTTGTTGAGCAATTTTAAACTTTACCTGCGCAGCTCCTTCTCCACAAATCTTAACTGTTGTAAGACAGCTACAGGTGGGAGTGTATGTGAGAAGCAAAAACAGGTGCTAAGCAAGGGGCATGTCTCTGGGGAACTTCTAAGCCTAACTTGAAACTCACTCATCTCATTTAGTGGATGCCATGGTCCTCTGAGGAAGAGCCGGCCCTGGGGGATGGGTGGGTTCCTGCTGTCCACACAATAGGACCTGGTTCCCTGGTCTGGAATATTCTTCATGACTATTTGCTGATTTTTAGGTCAGGACATGTGAGTGTTAATAGGGATCCCAGTGCTAATTTGGCTGCCTCCCTAGTGCAAGAAACCCATCTCTCCTTGGTTTGCAGTTTAGCTGTTGCATGAACCGCACCTTACTAAAACGGATGGCTTCCATTTGGAACAGGTTGAGTAACTTTTACTGTGAGTCAAAATCTAGAGCCTTGGGTCTTCTGCCGCTTGGAGCCCTGGTGCTGTAGTGGTTACTTGTTAGGTTGCTAACTAGAAGGTCAGTGGTTCAAAACCATTTACAACTCCTAGAGAAAAAGATGAGGCTTTTTGCTCCCATAAACAGTCTTGGAAATGCACATTGGGAAGCTCCACCCTGTCCTATCGGGTCGCTGTGAGTCGGCGTTGATTCGATGGTGGTGAGTTGGCTGAGTCTGTCCCTTAATCCCTGTGTGGCTCTATTAGTCCTCCGTAGAGTAAGTTTCATACTTCTCCCACCAGCAGCCTTTCAAACTTTGTGAAGTGAGTACTTTAATTCAGCTTTTGATACTGGAGTGTGGGAAATTTATGAGATTTTTGGGTAGAAAGTATTCGGTCCCTGGGAACCCTGGTGGCATAGTGGGTTAGTCGTTGGGCTGCAACCCATGAGGTCGGCCGTTCAAACCCTGTTTTAGAGGGTTTCCGGGAGTTGGAATCTGCTTGGTGGCAATGAACCTGGTCTGGTCCCTCTCTCGATCCCCGTAGAGCTTCTTGGCCCCCCTTCCACACTCTTCCCTCCAGGGGGTAGTGACCTGGTTGTGATTCTGACCGTTATTGATTTGATCAGTCTGCCGGAACAGCTGCCTGAAGAAATCAGAAGCTGACACGTTTGTGCATCAGGCTGAGTTTTCCTCCCTTTCCTGTGGCCCAGTTCTCTCCCACACTCCTTTTCCCAAGGTAGAAGCTGACTCAGCACCCTCGTGCCCTCTAATTACTATTTACTAGACTCCAGTTCCCTGTGTTCCTCCCCCTGAGGTGGTGAGAATGTAGCCCCTCCCACTTCTGCTCCTCACGCTCCCTGATTTGCCACAAGGTCCGGTTGACTTCTGGATGGGCCCTCCTGAGTCTCACTGAGACGGCTGCTCAGTCCCCAGACAAGCTAGATGCAGGATTCCTCCCTGATCAGTCTTCCTGCTTAACAACCCTAAAGAAAGTCAGTCCAAATTCAAATCTGGTCAGGACCCAGGTGGAGCTGAGCTTGGACTTCAGAGGGCAGAGTAGAAGGATGGTTGCCTTTGAGCAAGAGGCGGAGAAGTGCACTTGCAGGAAAGAGTACCATGGGCAGATAGCTCATTGCAAGAGGACCGGGGTGATTTGAACAAGGGTGAGCTCCCGCCCTTCGACTGGCAGGGGAGGGTACATGCCAAGATTTGCCCTCAACTGGGCCCCTTTCACAACAACTGCTTTTAAGCCAGGTCTCTGTGCCGGAAGGAGCGCATTGGCTTTTCCGAACAGTGCGGAATCTGCCTTTATTCAGCCTGTTTTTATTTCATCTCTTTATCTCAACTATGGGAACCTTTAAAATCTTGGTTCTGCCAGCCAGCGTATTAGCCATGCATATCAGCCTTGTGCCATTTTTAAACATAACAACTGAGACACGTCCCTTCACTTAGGACATTGTGATATGTTGGGGCAGGTGCAGTGAGGTGCAGAATCCAGTGGCATGCCCTCGCCTCCTCCTAGGTCTGGATCACCCTGTTCCTCCAGTCAGCGTGCATCTCTACCCCTGAGCCTGTGAGCGTGTTTGTGCCATCAGCTGTAAACCACCTTGCTCAGTTTAAAACTCCTCACAAGACTGCCAGGACACACTTAAGTGAAATGTCTTGTCAAGATGATTATGGTAAGCCGAACCATGGGAAACAGCCAACATGGAGGCACCTTGTGCTATTAAAACACGGCCGTTATCAGCAGGTGGTCAGTCTAGGTGAGTAGGGTCAGGGACTGGCACAGAGCTAAGCCGACTGAATCACCCAGAAAAGGAGAGAAGGTCCGTTCGTGTTACCTGTCCTCTGGTCATTGCTTCTTCGGCTTGGCATTTTCCAGACTTCCCAGGGAGATGGGAGGGAAACTAATGGAAGATGAAGTCATGAAGTCGCTGTAACAGGAATTGGCTTTGAAGAGATTGAAAAGTGATTTTGGCAAAGTGAGTTCAGGAACGCTTAAGTAACAAATGGCTTATTTCCCTGGTCATCTGAGGTATTGTTTTAGCTTAGTATTGGTTGTTTGTGGTCAGATACAGATTTTGAAGCCCCAGTTTTTCCATTTGAACTTGGACCCATCGGGCTGGTCTGTAGAAACTGGGCCTTTGAACGTCCTTACTCTCCCAGCGGCTGCCTGTCCCTGCGCAGTGCCACCGTGTGACCCGTGACCCCGAACAAGTGTCCTGCTTGCCTTTCGCCTCGCTCTCCCCCACACAGAGGCCTCGTGCTCATTAACGTGGTAACCTTAGGAAGGCGGACAGGGGAGAACGTGATCTTGGGAGGGAGGGAGCAGCCTGTGAGCAGAGTCCCTCTGAGTGTAGTTCGGGATCTCGAAAACATTTTTGCATTTCAGTTCCTTAATCGGAAAAGAGCCAGACATTTAAAGCAGCAGCAAGCACCACAACCCCTAACTCTGTAAACAAAATGTGACCCAGAAGAACACCAGCCGACCTTTTCTAATGACACATGGAGATTTTGCAATGTGACTTAACCTTTGTTACCTATAAGCTACATTTAGAAGATTATCATCAATGGAATAGAGTTTGAAACAAATCACAGTGCAGGTTTACTGTTCTCAGCAGTGCGAGCGCTTCGTCGGCCTGCTCCTGCCAGCAGTGGCCAGTTGGTGCGCAGGACTCTCAGATCTTTGAATTGTCTCCACTCCCAGGCGATGAACTGGATCCAGTAAGCTGATACCTGGCAGAGAGGGTTTCGCCTCACCATTCATGAGAAGCCCAGAGATTTTTAAAAAAATTTTCTCTAGTGTACAGACCATTAAAAAGTTAAGCAGCTTAATCGCCGTCTGCGCTTACTTTGAAAGTCAAGGCTGTTTCCGTTTTGCTTCTGAAGTTGTCTGCGAGTTTCCGCTGCTAGTCTTGACTACAGTTCCCAGATGTATTTATTAGGGCTTCTTACCTCCATCACTAGATTACCGGAATTATTCATGGAAGCAGACTTTCAGTATCACATCTGCTCAAAAGCCTTCTTCAGGGTTTCAGGTGATGAGCTCTGCGAGCTCCTTTGCCACCTTGTCCTGTACCTGGGTGCCCTCGGATGCGGTTCTCCACGTAGTTTCCCAAACGAGTCATTTTCTACACAACCCCAGGGCACCCTGTGTTACAGTCCAGCGCACCCACATTCCCATCCCAGCACTGAACTTGTAAGTGTCCTCCAGCTGGCCCGCCTGGAAGAGTCTCCTCTTCCATCTTCATGTCCCAGAGTTTGCCTGTCTGTCCTTCAGGGTCCGACTTAAATGCCGTTCATCACAGAAGAACTTCAGTCTTTGTGAGATAGCCTCACCAGAAAGAGTCTCCCTCCTCACAATTCTTTACCCTTCCCTGTGTGGTTGGGGTGTTTTGGGGACACGTGTTGATGCAAACCACATCCCAAGTGATTGGTATAAAAGTGCCATTATATACGTTCCCTGTCTATGATTAACAACGTAGGCATGAATAGCAACGGAGATTAAATATGATATGATACATACTGTTGTTAGGTAGCAACCCTGCGCACAACAGAACAAAACACCACCCGGTCCTGTGCCCTCCTCACAGTCGTCCCTGCACTTGAGCCCATTGTTGTAGCCACTGTGTCAGTCCATCTCCTTGAGGGCCTTCCTGTCTTTCGCTGGTCCTCTCCTTTCCCAAGCATGATGTCCTTCTCCAGGGACTGGTCTCTCCTGACGAGATGAGGTCTCTTCCCCATGCCTCTAAGGAGACTCTGACCATACTTCTTCCACGACAGATTTGTTTATCCTTTTAGCAGTCCATGGTACTTTCCATGTTCTTGACCAGCACCACAACTCAAATGCATCAATTCTCCTTTGGTCTTCCCTATTCAGGGTCCGACTTTCACAGGGCTATGAGGTCATTGACAATTCCATGGCTTGAGTCAGGCACACCTAGTCCTCAAAGTAAGAGACATACTAAGCTATTTAAATGGGGGGATCCAGTACATGTTTTTAAAGAAATATATTTGATGATGAGACACAGTTTTTATACGATAAAATATTGTATAATAGGGTCTTAAAATATATCTAAACAGTTGTATTTGTCTTTTCTGTGGCATGAAATTGATGCTGACTCATAGCGACCCTATAGAACAGGGCAGAAGTGCCCCTCTGGGTTTCTGAGACTGTCACTCGTAACGGGAGTAGAAAGTCTTTTCTTTTTCCTACAGAGCGGCCAGTGGTTTCAAACTGCTGACCTTGTCAGGTAGCAGCCAACACGGGACAGCTACCCTACCCCTGTTGCTCTCAGGAACAGACTCTGCTGTTCTTTCTGACCTTTTAAAGTCATGGAAACGAGAGTTATCCTACCCACAATGATGATATGTATACATATACACATATACATACACACACACACACGTATATATATATATATATATATATAGAGAGAGAGAGAGAGAGAGAGAGATCTCAAGTAGGGTTCAGTTTTGTTACCTAAGGTGTCATCTTGACCTCAGACTTCCAGGCCTAGTAAGGACTGACTGGCTTGGTTTAGAAAATATGATATTATAAAATGGAATTTCATAACTTTTCTTAGTATACATGGAACATTGTAATATAAAATAAGCTCATAATGTTGCATATTAACTTGTTATTGACAAATTAATTATTTGCTTCCAGAACCTACCTTCCGGATCATCCCGTGTGGGAGCCATTAAACTGACCTACATTTCAAAGGTACTCTTTCTGCGCCATCGCCTGCCTGCTCATGCGTGAGTTCAGGGCCCTCAGACAGGAGGGGGACAGAAAGAACGTGCCCCCAGTGATGACCGAAAGTGCACCAGGGGTGTCCCCGTCAGAAGGGCTCCAGACTGATGGGACAGGAAGCCAGCCCATGGAGTGCATGGGTGTTGTGACCAGGCTGCGTGAGGAGCGTTAACCTGCAGGCTCTGACCGGAGAAGGCTGGAGAAGATGTGTGCTACGCTTATTTACACTGGGTCTGTTTTTCTCTTGAAGACAACGACGACCATCTTCATGTCAGAAAAGATGATTTTTCCCTCCTTTCATTTGGTTCCCGCTGATTTCCGATTCCTTGAGTATTGACTTCTTTTGCTGGCATTTCTACAATTATATATGTTTTGTTTCTTATTTTTCAGAATTTTAGATTTGTGATCGATCAGGTCCCTCTTTTTCTTTCATGACTGTTTTGGGAACTTAGATCGAAGTCCCTGAAGAGTTAGCCCTGCGAGGGTTTTGGAGGTTTACTTTGCATTTGACCCAAAAGCAATAGTTTGTTGATGACATGAGCCGAAAGAAAGTTAGAGACGAGTGTGATGGCCTCTGCGCAGGCATCGTGTAGGTATGCCTGAGGATGTGCATCAGTCAGTCCTCTGATCAGATTGCTCTTGAAGGTGGTTCCATAATTTGCCCTCATTTTGATATAATTGAATCAATCTCTACTCAAAACTGATTTTTTTTTTATCATTTCGTTGAAGGGCTCTTAACAAATCTTATGACAGCCCATTGTTCAGTTGTATTAAGCACACTTGTACATATGTTGCCATTAACATTTCCAAAGCATTCTCTTTCTACTTGAGCCCTTAGTATCAGCGCCTCTTTTCCCCCCTACCTCCCCAACCTCAAAACGACTTCTTCATCACAAGCACCTTTACTTGCCGCCTGGGATAGCATTGAAATCATTGCAAGGCTTGGAGCCTTTTTTTGCACTAAAGTGAAACTAGATTAGGACCATGTGCACTGTTCTCACTCACCTACAGATTGAACTTAAAGACACTTTAGAATGGATCTTACCCATCACTTGAACTGCCTGTAGATTAGTGTACATTTTAAACATAGGTAGATCACTTCAACAGACAACTGGTATATAAATGGGCTTCTGTTTACGAGAGAGAGATTTTTATAAATAAAACTTATTTATATCCCAGTAGAGTTATTGATTTTGCTTGATGAAAAGAAGGGGGGAAATTAGCCCCAAGCAACAATGGTTACGTATCTAAACCAAGGGATCATACCTGCTGCCACGGGGTCAATGCTGGCTCGTAGCCGCCCCTTAGAGGTTCCGAAATGGGAACTGGTGACGGGAGTGGGAAGCCCACGCCTCCTCCTGTGGAGCTGCTGCTGGTAGTTTGATCCGCCGACCATGCGGACTGCAGCCCAGCGAACAACCCTTGCACCCCAAGACTCCCATAGAGCTAAAGAGAAACATGTTTTCTATTGAAGCCATGTCCTATAAATTTGCAAAAGACAAACAATACTTAAGTATACCTTAATTGTTCCCATAATTCAAGATGCTAAAAAGTGCTTCCGAGTGGCTTTGATCCTATAGGGGTTCTTAGGAGGTGGCATGGAGCCCCATGGCAAGACAGATTGAAGATCTCCAGTTTGCTTGGCTGTGTGGCTGGAATATGCGTATTGATAAGCAGGTAGCCTGCCCAGCATTTTGGACTGCCAGTGCACTGATGCGGAAAGGGCCGTTGACAAGGTGGAGAGGGAGCAGTTGTGTGGGAGCTCCTTCATGAAGAACTGGCTCAGTGAAGCAGGCAGGTGCATCCGCCGGGTGGCGCCCCTCCCCCACGGCTCTACCTTTCCAGTGTAACCTGGGCGTGAACCTGGGTTCACTTTTATCTCTGCCCCACAGCCAACTGGAGTTTGAATTGTACACTTTGTGCTCCCTTTAGCCTTGCCACTGTTTTGGTTTATTCCAGACCTTATTCCTGGAACAAACCACAGTGTGACTCAGACCTGTGACTTTGTCCTTAGGATCAGCCAGGAGTCCCAGACCTGGAGTTCCCTCCGAAGGCACAGAACAGATGCCACAGTCAGGA